CAACTCCACCACTTCGTGCTTGTCCACGGCTCATGTCATGGTGCGTGGTGCTGGTTCAAGCTAGCCGCAAAGCTCAAGTTCGATGGTCAACGCGTGACAGCTGTTGAACTTGGTGGGTCTGGGATCGACACGAGGCGGCTCGACGAGGTCCGGTCTGTTTCGGAGTATCTAGAGCCATTGATGAGTTTCATGGAGTCTGTTCCTGAGGAGGAGAAGGTGGTTCTTGTTGGTCATAGCTATGGTGGCATTGGAATCTCACTCGCTATGGAAAGATTTCCGACCAAAATCTCTGTCGGAATCTTCCTCTCTGCTTATATGCCTCACCATGACTTTCCTCCTTCCGTTCTCATTCAAGAGGTCGGTGGAAAAGAAAAAACAAAGTTCTTATCTTGTTTGGGACCATTCTTTGAGAAAATATCTTATAATTGCATGTCACTTTCGGGTTTTTTTTTCTGCAGTATTTCAAGAGACTACCTGAGGGATTCGCCATGGATTGTGAGTTTACATTTGAGGAAGGACCACAACATCCACCAAGTTCAGTTATGTTCGGTACTACTTTCTTGAAGGAGAAGGCATATAGTAATTGTCAATTAGAGGTGAGTTTACTACATTCATTTCAGTTTAATGGGTTTGTAAAAAGACCGTTTTTTTATGTATGATCATGAGCAGATAACAAATCTTGGCTGAATCAACGATCTGAGTGCAGGATCTTGAATTAGCCATGGCGTTGGTGAAACCGAGCTGGTTATACCCGAAGGAAATGGGAAGTGAAGATTTGCTGACAAAGGAGAGGTATGGATCTGGTAAGAGAGTGTTTATTGTCTGCGAAGGCGACTATGTGGTTCCAGAGGAGATTCAGAAGTGGATGATTAGTAACTACGAACCTAACGAGGTGAAGGTGATTGAAGAAGCTGGTCACATGGCCATGCTCACTAAGCCTCGACAGCTTTCTCAACTGTTGCAAGAAATAGCAGCGAGATGCAACTGAAATGTAAAATTAAAACAGTTTGTTATAATAACTCTTGTCGTAAAGAGTATCGTATAATTAAAGCTAGCTCTGGAGTGTTGTGCATCTCTTGAGCTTTAATTACATCGATGATATGAATAAATGAGAGCTTGAAATATTTGTGTGTTTCTCAATATTCTACATTGTGTAGTAACGACATTTCATTACTTACTGTATTTGGTTAGGGCAGCTTCACATTAGCTTGACCAAAAGTATCTTATACCTTTCCGATTTGGATTGTGGAGGCAAGAACATAATGCTCTCTGATTTACCGCTCCTGCACCAATCAGGAATGTAAAGGTCTCTCTGCAGAAACAGAACTCATGTTAGCTTCACTTTTTGTCAGAACCCAAGAAAATTCGATTAGACATTAGACATACATACAGTTCTACTTGTGAGCCAATTACTTCTTCAGTTCTTTGTATTGGCATCTGATCCTTCTGTCTCACAGAATCTCAGCTGAGAAGCACCAAACTGAGAAGTTAAAGACTTCTCTACCAGCCAACACACTGTAATCTCTTGGGGAATTGTAAAAAATCTAAAAAGCCTTTTGCGATATCATAATAATTAAGGATATGATCAAATGCGTCATGGAGTTTTCATATAACAGTCCTTTAGAATCTATATGGAGTATGGAACTGATTTACCTTTGGTACAGATATATTACTCGCGGGATAGACAGAGCTCTTGAAACCTTGAAAATCTGCCTCAAAATAGAAAAACTGCCTCAACAGAGCTCTGCTTAGACAATATTTTGTA